ATGGTTTCAAAATAAAAATTTTAAAATTAAAGGAGATCAATCATACTTCATACAAACAAAAGATAAATTTTTATATACGTTTAGTTTATATATAATTATATATATCGAGGATTTTCATTTGATTAAAAAATATTGAGGAATGTGCGAATCGATTCGCAGAATTAATTAAACGGATCGCGTGTTTCTGACGGCGATAGAGACATTGTAACTTGCTGTGAGCAGTGCTACCCCAGGCAATAACTCCATAACTTATATAACTATGAATAAAAGAATAATAAATTTTAGTTAAATTATTTTTATCTAAATGAATACGCGCCTTAAATAAAATTTTGATACGTTTTGAAACTTCGAGCAGACATAGTTAATATGATGTTTCCATACGATGTTCTTGTCAATAAAAACCCCTGGGTATTGAGTTACAGAATGTCTTTTTATTTCAATAAGGTTAGTAAAAATTTTTTGTAGATTTGGGGAAAGAGAACATTTTTGGAGTGCGGGTGGAAAAAAATCCATTTTGTTTTGCTTACATTTAATGTTAATTTGTTACTTTTAAACCTTTTAGATATGTTTTGACGTTCTTTGTTCATCATGGAGAACAGATAGATGTCACTGTTAGAAAGTTTGTGTCATCATGAAACATAATACTTTGAAGATTTGATGCTTTATGCAAATCGTTGATATATATTAAAAACAAAAGAGGGCCTTAGGTGAAACCTTGCGGAACACCACAGGAAACATTTAAAAACTTTTTATGATTAAATTCATTACATGAAAAAAATTGTTTTCTGTTAGATAAATAGCTTTGAAACCATTTAATTACTCTTTCATTTATTCCATAATAATTAAGTTTGTAAAGCAAAATGTCACGATCGACACTATTAAATGCTTTTGAAAGATCGATAAAAATGATATGAATTGAGATTTTTTAAAAGAATTGGAAATTTCATGTACCAACTGAATAATTGTATGCTTAGTTGAGTAATCTTTTTTTAAAGCCAAACTGATTGTTGTATAATAAATTATTTAAACTAAAATAATTAAATACTCCATTGAACAAAATTCTTTCTAGTATTTTAGAAAATATAGGTAATTGCTTCTAAATTATAAAAATGCAAGCAGACATATTTAAAAAAATGTTGGTGATTGATCAAAGAAGTTGAGTGTGCTAGACAGTAAAAGAATGGTTAGATACATGACTACTGGAGAAATAAAATTGACATCTCATGCAGCTTAATTTTTAAAACGTGATACAGGAAAAATGTGAGCAGGTGGACAGTGCAGCAAGATCTCAAAAAAAAAAAAATTTGAGCAATAGAAAAAAATGAAAAACCATTACTTAGTAAAAGAAACATCAAAGCAAGATTTAACTTTGTAAAAAAATACGAAAACTTTACCGAAAATGCCCAGGAAAAAAATTTCTATAGAATTTTCTATAATTTTTTAAAACATATGGCATATAGAAATTCTATAAATTTTTTTTTTTTTTTTTTTTACATTTGCCGTAAAATAAATACTATATTTTACAAGAACAAAGAAAACAAGGCTTCTTAAAAAAGATCAACTGATCTTATCATCAGAACCTTTACAAATTTATCATACCATAAAAACTGAAAATATAAATCCAAAAACGGCCGTAATAATATATATATAATAATAAATTCATAATATTAATCACGTATCTGTTATAATAATTCTCACAAATCTGTTATAAAAATCCATAAGAATAAATTTTATAGATCTGTTAAATTAAAGAAAATAAATTTATTAATATAAATATTACTATAAATCTCATAAATCAAGTTTATACTTCAAGCTAATAGTAACTTAAGATGTCATCCATAGCAAGAATAAATTTTTTTAATTCATTTTTAAAAACAGAAAAACGGATAAAAGGATCAAAATTAGGCAGAACTATTTTATTCCAAAGGTAAGGTGCTCTATAATTAATACAAAATTCATTAAAATTTGTTCTACAAAATGGTTCATTTAGCAAATCTTTATTTTTTAGTGAGTACTTATTCGTAAGTTTTAATGTAAAAAGGTCGTTAAAAACAGGTAGGGATAATTTTTTTTTCCACATATAAGTAAAACATAAAACATTAAGTTTGTAGACATTAAGTATTTTGATTTCATCAAAGAAAGGTTTTGAATGTGTAAATTCTACTGAATTTCTATAGAAATTCTGTTAACTTTTATAAAAATTTTTATAGAAATTTTTTTTCTGCTTTTTTTTTTATAGAAAAAAAAGTTTTATAGCAATTTCTATAGAAATTAATAGACATTATATACAAATTCTATAGAGTTTCTATAGGACATATGTTTCAAAAGTTTGAATTTTATAGAAATTTTAATTTTATAGAAAATTATATAGAACTTTTTTCCTGGGTGATTAGAAGAAAGATATTTCATCGGATAAAACTTAAATTAATTGTTATACCACGGTGGGTGGCACTGGAGCTGGAAAAGCAGCAGTGGCGCAGTGGTAGCGCATTTGCCTCAG